GATCGACAACGGTCGACGGAAGCTTGACGAAAATGCAAATCAACGAGCACACTAAGGAGATCCAATTTTGATATCCGCAATTTTTTATATCCACATAAGCGAAAGAATTAGTCGGGAGGATCGTTTACCTGGCAAGTGTAGCGTCAGTGTGATAACAGCCTTACGCGCGTAACGCTACTACGGTTTTCGAGTGAAAGCCGGGAGGAGACGCAGTCGAGGGTGAAAATGATGATAATCCCAGCGAACGCGAACACCAACAATAAACATTATATCGATGTTATAATTTCCCAGTCGACAATGTAACTGTCGCACAACACGCGATATTATATCGCATTTACATCGTTGAATAGGATACTATAACATTAACAACAGTTACATTACTGTTAGTTGGTTAGTGTTTGCTGGGATTTTAGTGGATCTCCTCGCGGCGCGAGGTTCATCGCATTTCTCCGGCAAAGCGATGGTCTTCGGAAATCGAGCGGTCTGCTCTGCGGCGACCGGATGCGGCGAGTGTTCGAAAACACCGGAGAGAAATCGGTCGCTGCGATATCGCGGAATCTCCCCGACGAAACTCTCTCGGGGGTGCACGGGGATGCAGTCGTCATCCCTCAGGCACGCGTCTAATATCCACCCTCGTGCACCCCCTCTTAGCCGAGCGCGACGCGGAGGAGAGTCGAGCGAGGCGGAGCCGCGAGTGTCCTAAAATCGCGGCGGCATCGCGCGTTCAATCGATACGCTCGGCGTGTATCGTCGCTACCGCCTTCGGGCATTCGCCCACCGCGTCGTCATCGTGGCCACATGCGAATCGCCGTCGCGCGATAGGGGAAACGACGTCACGGGCTTTCGCGGAGAGGGTGCGACAGCCCGGGGCCGAAACCGGCGGAAAAGGCGAAAGGAAAGGCCGGTGTATTAATACACGAGGCGCGCGTGCTGCTCGACTCCCCCGCGAAACACGTGGAGCGTTTCCCAAAAGCGTCCTATCGACCGATATCGCGGCGCAGGCTCACTGCGAATCCCGCACGCACACACGCGAGCACCACGACACGTGCGCGCGCGCACACGCAGACGGGCGCTCGCGCCTGTATCACACACACACACACACACACGTGGGCGCACGCACACGGCGGCCGGCCGGATGGAGCCGCCCACGCATCATCACCTATACAGGTTACACGCACGCACGCACGAGGAACGGGAACAGAGCGCGCTTAGGGCCGAGAGAACGAAGAGGAGACCGCTACGTGGGGCCCCCGATCGAGGCGACGGCGGTGTCCCCGTCTCCTTCGCTCCAACGCTCGGCCGGATCCTCGGCTGCGGATCTTCGCTGATCGTCACAATGG